CGCTACAAACACGACAAACACGGTTTTTGGTATGTGAGCTACACGCACCAGTCTTCACGTGCCCTATGAATTTCCCTTCTGGGCTACTGTAGAAACATGGTAGTTCAACATTGCAACATCCATGGAAGGTGACCCGCTGTGTCTGTAGATATAAACAGCTCATTCTAACAATTTGGGGTTCAGTATCTGCTACTTCGACACGTGGCGGGAGGAGCGGGATCATACCATCTACCTTCTGATTAGTGGATGACCCGCTCTGCCTCTGAGCCACAGCCGCCCTTGAGCTGCTGATATTCGTGGCCCCCAGAGGATGTGACCTTAGCTTTCCCTCTAGTATCACTGTTAATTACAATGAATACATTTTCATTTTCCCACAAGATATGTGATAATACAGACCCAGTGGACACCCTGGGCAGCACATCTCATGTGCTGATTGTCATTCCATTTACTCAGCACAGTGTGTTCCCAGAATCATCAAATTTATTGATGATTTTTTGGTTTTTTATGTTCCTGGACGGCTATGTCCAGGAACATAAACCAAAAAATCATCAATAAATTTTGTTTAAATAACTTTGATGTAGTGGGGTGTGATCAATGAACACTGCAGCCTCTTAATGCGTGCATAAACAATGTACTCTGTGTGTACCTGGAGGGTTAAAATGTATATCCACCAGGGCACAGACTCTAACCATAGTGTTCTTTTGTAATAGTCATTTAATAAATCACATTAGGCAAACAGTAATACTTCCTCATTTTGTAGTTTCCCTCGCAAGAACACATCTGACCCATCTGCTCATAACAAGTGTTAAATTCACAATATTTCAAGTTGATGCGTTCCTGTGAAGTGGGTCCAAGTGTCTTTGGATCCAATATGTGCTGATAAATCAGCTAAATATTCTGCGTCATTTTAAAAAAGCAGCAAATCCCCATCTTACATAACGTGCTGATACAGGTTTCCATCAGCTGTGAACACACAGGCCGACCAGAACGGTTGAGCTGCCAAGAACTACTCTTGATCACTATCATTCTGCAAAAGTGCTGGAATGAGGAGAGGATTTCCTGAAGGATTTGGATCCTTCTGCACCAACTGCCGCAGGGAAGACGTATTAACATTGCATATGTGTGAACAATGCAATTTTCATGTGAGTGCTAGCAGTTGAACTGGATTACAGGAATACAGAACACTTCACTCCTCTAGCAAGAGAACTGCAAGAAACCTGGAAGGTTGTATGATCAAAAATTAAAAACTACTTACCTAATATGTCTGAAGTTTTTAAAAGCCATTGGTGCACACTTTGTCTAAGCTTCAAAATAATTCCAATCATAGCTAAGGAGTTGAGTCTCCTAGATATATGATTTTAAGCTAAATGCATTTATCATCAATGAACAAAATGTAGTATGTCATCATGTCTGTGCTGATTTTCAGTGGTGGTTTCTGATGGTTGTAGAAAACCAAATGTAAGAAAGTTTACATTAATTAATTAAGAGTCATTTAAATTAAAAACCTGTTTAAAATCAACCATAGGAGACATTCACTTTGCACTCGAAATAAGTTGGGTGACAACCAGCCAGTTTTATCTTACCACCCTGTATGTGTTAGTAAATCAGAATTATTCTAAATTGAGAGGTGCATGCCCACTCTTTGCAATTATCATACTGCCATGCCCCCATTTCTCTATATAAGGAAATACATTTGCCTACAGGTGTATCGTGGAGAAAGTGTTGAATAAATCTAACTTTATTTATATAGGGCCTTTCAAACAAATGAAATACAATACAAAATAATAAAATAATAAAGATAATATAAATGTTATTATTAAATGTTAAATAAAAAAATGTGTTTACATTTACAGATATCAATATTTTCAGCTCCTTGAAAGAGAGAAGCATGACCTCTAATGCAAAAAAGCAAAATAACTATAATATTGTGTCCAAAGTGGAAGCCAGAAAAAATGCTTTTCCTCGGGAGTGACAATTGGTCATCAGATATGGAATCTTTTATATACCCTGTATGTCTGTTAATAGGCTATAAATTAACACTGGGTACATTGTTTAAATTGGATTATCTGATCATTATGGGCCAACATAAT